TAACCTCCTTCCTCTGCCTTTACCCAGGCTGGATATGGGTGGAATACCTGGAGGAACTATATTCCCCCCGAGAAGACTTCTAAAAACATTGGTAAGGGGTGCAAGAAGAGCTATGATTGAATAAGAAAATCACCGCAGACAAGGCCTGCAGTCCATAGCCTTGCTCTTGAGACTAAAGAGTCAGGATTTGGTAGGGGCCAAATCATGAAGAGCTTAGCATGCAATCCTAAAGAACTTTATCCCACAAGAAATCAGAAACTATTGAAAGATGTTAAAAGAATATGATCAAGTTTTTTTCACAAATACCACTCAGTGATAAGTTTAGAATTGATTACAGGTTTTAAATTGCACAGGTCCACTTAATACAAGTATTTTTTTTCAATAAATACTGTAAATGTGTTTTCTCTTATGATTTTTCTTAACATTTTATTTAGCTTACTTTATTGTAAAAATACAGTAAATAAAACATAACATACAAAATATATTAATGGATTATGTTATTGATAAGCCTGGCTGTTAGACAAAAATTTTCAAAACTGAAAGTTGTCCAAAGAGTTTATTGAGCCATATGTTTGCCAGAGAAAGGACCAGGTCCTGGGGCACGCAATCAAAACCACCAGCAGCAGGGCTAGATGGAGTACACAACATGTCTGCCATCCTAGGATTGATGGAGCTCTTCTACATAATGAGTTTGGAGAAGATATAAGTGGTTTTGAATGAATTTACATTGGTTATAGATAAGGTGGGGTGGAAAAGGTGAAGTGGGGAAAGTTCTGGGATAGGTGAATAGTCAGTAAGGAAAAACTACTTGTTACTTTATGGGCTGGTTATGGGCAATGGTCCAGAAAGTTCATGTGTAAGCAGGATGCAGTGCTGCCTGGAGGTCAGCTATTCTTTTTAGATTAATCATCTTCAGGAAAAAATGAGTGAATATAGCAAAAAACTTTCATAAAAGTTATTTCAGTCTGGCCAGGCGTGGCTCAGCGGTTGAACATCGACCTAGGATCCAGGAGATCAAGGTTCGATTCCCGGTCAGGGCACATGCCCGGGTTGCAGGCTCGATCCCCAGTCGAGGATGTGCAGGAGGCAGCCAATCAATGACTCTCTCATCATTGATGTTTCTATCTTCCTCCCTCTCTCTCTCTTTCTCTCTCTGAAATCAATAAAGATATATATTTTAAATCTTTAAAAAAAAAAGTTATTTCATAAAAATGCCTAACAGAATTGTGAAGGGTAAAAATAGAAAGCCTCACATTTCAAGGACATGAGTCAATGAGAATCCAGTTTACCCTATAGAGATTAACAATATTTTTAAATCCTCAAGAATTTTTAAAAAGTGTAATGTGTCCTCAAGGGACATTTTGCAATGATGGGAGATAATTTTGGTATTCACAACTGGAGGAGAGGGTACGATACTATTGGCATCTGGTGGGTAGAAGCCTGTGATGCTACTAAACATCCTGTAATGCACAGGATTGCCTTTCACAACAAAGAATTATCCAGCCCAAAATGTCAGTGGTGCCAAGGTTTAAAAAACCTGCTCTAGGAATTTAACCTACAAATATATTGGCACACATGAAATAACTTCTGTACAATCATTTATTGTTTGAAATTACACACTATTGGAAATGACACACATATACATAAACAGCAGATGGCTTAAATAAACTAGGGTTCATCTGTACAACAGTGTTGTATAGTATTCCATTATTCATGTTTTTTAAAAGAGGTGGTAGTATAAATATTATATAAATATATGTAAATTATATATCTCAATCCTTGGAGTAGAACTTTGATAACTGTCTGAAGAAAAGAACCTTTGCTGGGAAAAACACATTGTCATAGTGCAGCACTGCCCTCAGACCCAAGTAAACGCTGGGCCCTGTGTTTTAGAGGGATCTGCTCTGGCTTTCTGTCTATGCTTCTTGGTGATAAGTCATGGAACCAAGAGATGTGTCCACCCCAAAGACCAAACCTGCTTCCAGGGGCTACACAATCCTCTTCCCAAGTTCTATCCTCCTGAGGAGTGGCCAAGAGGGGCTGACTATATTCAGGGAGTGTAGACAGAGCTTGGACAAAAGGCTGGGGTATCCTATATGTACAGTTAAGGGCTGTCAAACTGCAGGACAGAGCTGAGGTGTGAGAAAAGGAAGGCAGACTAAGGGCATTGGGAGCCAGGAGGAGGCTCCGGAACTGAGGAATTCAAGAATTCTAGATTTGACTCTGGCTTCCAGGTCATTATGAAAATATATTTGTCAAAGTATACCAAAGGTTGGAGAAAATATATTTCAACAGTTTGTTAGCTTGATTTAAAACTTACAAATATTTAGACTTACGGTATACTGTTTTCCATTTGTATGCTTGCCCTGGCCTTGCAAATGTCCATTTCTACAAATGTTAGATGGGCCTGATGCAGTAGAAGCAGTGAGAATGAATCCCTCTGACCTAGTAGAAGAAAAAAACAAGAAAGAACTTGTGCCTGAGGATCTAGCAAGGGGCAGAGATGAGTCCTAGGGGTTTAATCTGCTCCCTTATTTCTCTGAGTCACCAGGTCTCAGGGGCTATATCAGAAAAAAGATTCTGAAGAGAAGATGGGAGAGTTGCTTGGAAACATTAGATCATTTCACCCCTTAGTTCAAAACTCTCCAGGCCCTTCAAAATACCCCGTTAGATTTTTTGTAAGATACTAACCTCTTAAAACAGTGTTAAAGTAACTTCTGTATAGTTCTCATTCCTTTAACTTATATATAATTTATATATTATTTTAGGCCTGTAACAAATCACTTTGTTTACCCTGTCCCCTCAGCCTTGAACACCTTTGCAAGCTAACCTCCCACTCAGGGATCCTCTAACATCAGGCTCACAGTAATCTGTGTGAAGCTTGCTCTGACCCAAAACAGATATGTTATTTTCTCTGCGCTCAAAATGCATTTTTCCCATGTCAATCATAGCAATTAACGGGTTCTATTGTTATGCATAACTTAATTCAAGTAAATTTTCTGAGGTCCTCTTTAAATTAAAAAAAAAATTCTGTGTATCCAGATTTTGAAATTAGAATTTATTTTTTTATCAGGCGCCTTCTCTGTGTAAAATATTGTCCCTCGTTTTAGGGTACCACTGAAGGAAGAGAGTCCGCACGTAAGAGCTGGTCAAAACAAAAGCACGTTTTGACAAGACCACTGAGTGACGACTACAATTCCCAAGATGCCCTGCAGGTCAACAGACGCATCTCGCCTGATTTTCACCTTTCAAGCCAACGCGTAGTAAAAACCTGGCGGCTGAACAAGCCGAGACTGTTTTAAAGAAAAAATAAAAGGATTCTACCAAAAACGAAAGGAGAGGAAAATAAACGACTGCCCAGTGCATGACTTGCATCCACCACGCAATGTTTGACAACTAACGTGAATGCCGAGAGAATTCCTCCTTCGCTTATTCAGTGCACAAGACCTCCCGACAGATCACGCAAGCAATGCCCACAAGAGAAACTCAAAAATACCAGAACAATGCTCTTGGATGTGTTAGAAAGGTAGCTCCCCACCAGGTCCCTAAACTTATCTGAAGACTTACTTCCCGAGGTTACAACCACAATAAGGGCACTGTATTTTCATGAAGCGGAAAGGCTGCTTTTCAATGGCCAGCTACCAAAAACCTAACGGTAAAACGCTTTGGCGGGAAATACGAAATTGTCAACACACTTTTTCTGGTACGGCGTTATAATCGTCAGGAGATTCCGAGAACACTTCCCGAGGAAATGCTTAACTATAACAGACTGCAACACGAGTTTTAGACTACGTCTTCACGGAAAGAGGTTTAAACTATTTTTCTCCCATAGCTGACAGAGCGAGCTCCCACTACGGAATGCGAGCACATCTCCTTCCTTTCTTGCTCAGGGTTAGTCCCGTCCAAGGATGCGTACCTCCCAGGTTTGCTCTGCTTTTCCTCAGAGCCGGGCTGCACGACTCGTCACAAGCCGGGCGCAGCCAGCCACCGGACGAAACAGCTTCCACGACTCAGTTCTCACAGCCTACTCAGGAAGGTCTCGCGTCACCAGCAGGGACGGGGAGATCGCGAGAACCACCAGCTCGGTAAAAATCCCGCGCCGGTGGGCGTGGCCAAGAGAGGAAAAACTCGCACTTAGGCCCTCCCACCTCAGTTTACCACCCCGCCTCGCGAGAACGCCGAGTACTGCCGGCCCGGTTGCGCGAGCAGAGGCTGAGACGCGGTGCGTCGGCCTCGTCGGCCTCCGTAGCCCCTGCTAGGGCAGCCCGTGCGAGCCTGCTGGAGGAGGAAGAGAAAGGCAGAGAGAATCGGGTTACAAGATGGCGGATGTGTAGTAGTTAACAGCGGCGGCGGCGGCGGCGG